ATGAAAATTGCTCAAATTATGCGACAAGTGAATTTTAACTGCATGTAAATCTGCTGTTCTATTATCGGCAACTCGAAATCAGCTACAATTTGTAGTGCGTGTGTTTCATTTTAAGAAAACCCTGCTAGATTGCTTTTTCTCAGTAGTAAAAATATAGTCAAATTGAAGCTGAAAGCATAAAGAATCGTTTGCATGCATTCAACGAAGTGTTTTCGTAAGAAAATCCAGTGAAAATAGTGTTTCAATTTGGGTTGCCGAAAATAGTCTGTCATGCCGAAGCCATCATTTCCCCTAAATTTTTAATTTTTTTTTTGATAATTTTGATTTTTTTGTAAAAATAATAATAATTTTTTACAGTGTATATTTTTTCTTGAAAAGCACAATACTTGTCCGCAACTTCTTCCAAGACACCATCTCAATCAAACAAATCGTTCGCAAGATATATGTTTTTCTATTGATGCGTATCATTTTTTCATAAGCCCTTTTCAAGTGTTAGTCGAGTACAAAACTAGGGAATCAAATATGTAAAATGGCATGTTGGACAATAACAAACAACTGTGCAAAGTTTGAACATAATCGTAGAAGGTCGATCAAAAAATTTAAAAAAAAAATCGTCATTTGAAATGGAAACTGCTGAGGAGATTTTACGCGACTGTTAAAATTTAGATTTTTTTTTTCTGTGTGAAATAAACACTTTCTTAACTATGCTTTCCAAAATGTTTTTAAAAAATTACACCGGAAGTATGCTATTTAGGATAACATTTTTATTATTTATTTTCGATAATTGACATTTGTGAAACCTCCACAGTAGCAACCTGGTCTATACAAGGTGTGGAATTGATGGCCTGTACGTAGTGGTGCAGTTCGTTTTTCACTCGGCTTTCAGTCGGCTTCGCACGATTTGCTTCTTTCGTACGCTCAAACACGCTCGTAGCTACGTCATAACGTTTGTTTCAATCAGCGTTTGCATTGGAAATTGCATATGAATTATAGAATTTCTGTATGAAGCCAAAATTTATTTATATTTTTTCACTGAATGTTGAGATAATGTATTGATTATTATATTAGCGCACTGTATACCATGAAAAAGCAGCCTGCTGGTGAGTTTTTGCCCGTTTCCAAAGTAAGGAGTTCCTATAAAAATACAAAACGCCTGCTGATATTTCCCGGATACTTTAAAAAAGCATACAAGCAAGCGCAATCATCATGCAAACATATCTAGAATTTGCTGTACTTCATATTTCACAAATTTTCTTTCGACTGCTATTACGTCGTGGTCATCCTCTCCCGCAATGTTTACCTTTTTCTCTCTACCAACACATACGTTAGGGCTAGATCTCCACACCTTGTATAGACCAGGTTGCCACAGTAGAGTTGTTCCGTTCAATACTTTGATTGCTCATCAGTATTGTAATTACATATATTAAGCCTGAATTTTGTAGAAATGCAAAGGGGCGTTTTAAACCTTCCTACCCTATCCTAGTATTAATTAGAGGGAACTAAATTGTGTATAATAATAATTGTGGCTGCACCATAGAGTTGGTGGGTGGTAGCGCACATTCGACAAATCAGTAAGTACTTGGGTACTTACTACAATTGGGGTTTTATGAAGGTTCTGCTAAACCATGATAAAATTTGCAATGTGACTTGCCCGAGCAAAGTCTGAGATCAAATTGAAATCTAAATTTGATGTTGTGATTTCGCTGATAATGATTGCTCAGGTTGCTGTCGTTTTGGTCGTTTTAACGGTTAAAATATCAAAATTGAGAGCAACAAAATCTTCCTGTGACATCACATTGAAAACTATTTCTGCTATCAGTGAGAGCAAACTGAAAATTCAATTTGATATCAATTTTTCCTGTTGATAACAAAACAAGCATTCAATTTGATATTATGCTAAGGCAATGAAAACAAACCCACAACAACATATTTTTGAACAGCAAATGTACAGCAAAATGAAAACAAAATTTGTCAATTACATAAACTGAAATCAAATTTGGATGTCAGTTTGATGTTGATATCAAAACTTGATTTCAATTTGCTGTCATTTTGATGCTGGACTTTGCTCGGGTGGGTAACCGTCTCTAAATTTACTGCTCTATTCACATGAATGTTATTTACAAAAAAAAAATATAACAACCTACGAACAGCTCAATCCATCGCATGTAGTGAAAGCAGTACCCAATTCTCCAGAGGAATAAATTGATAACGCTTCTCCCGTACACGTGACTCACAGTTTCAAGTTCAAACGTGCCTGCTACTGATTTTGTTTCCCGGTATATTCACATATTTGACAGATGATATTTGCGCAGCCGCCATGCAGCGCGGAGCGACGCATGCCCTCACTGAATGTTGTTATCGCCATTCCCATATGGACACTTTCGGGATAACAAAACTTTTCACGTAATTGGTTTATTCTGTTTTCGTGGAAAAATGGACACGGTTTCGAGTGATTTGTAACAATGTGGCTAGTGGAACTGTTTAGCCAATGAAATGAGATGATTTAGAGTGGTTGTTCGGTTGGTGTCGATCGGTGTCAGGCCATATTCTTACATTCCCCAAGCTACCCGAAAAGTGCACTAGTGTAGAGGAAAAGAAAAATAATCAATTCTGTTGTTAGTTCCATTAATAAAGTTGTAGTTTAACCCAGAAAAACGTTTTTAATCATCCGGTTGGAATGATGTGTCGATTCGTAATCTTTTTAAACAAACAACCAGAATAGATCGCCGGAGCACGGTGCTTGACGATGTGTATATCGATTTTTGTTGCGTGAGAATAAACAAAGCACAGAACAGGAGTGAAATTTTACTCCTGCCGGATAGCAGTCAGTGATAAAATATGTATTGAAAACCACTCACAAAGATAGAACCGGATTATAAAGATTGGAAAAAGTTTCCCCACTTGCTTTGCATCAAACGGAACCCTTTTTTGGGTTAAAGGAACAGGAAAAACTACATTTGTTTTTAAGTAGTATGTGATAATACAAAACACCAGAAAGCGAACACAAAAAGGGTCGGATCCAATGAGTCTTGTGATGTCAGTTCAGGTAATGGTGTTTATCTTTTCGTATTATTGTATTTGCAGTATTATTGTGCGACGAGATTGCAGAGTGATTAAAAAAGTGTTGATGTTTATCTCTTCACCTCTGTAAAATGGAAATGTTAGTAAGAGGAACAGTACAAACCGATGAATAAATGGCCTTGAGGCAATACGCATTACCTGATATCGATAAGGCAACACAAACATTGACATAAGGTTGTTCAGCCGTGATATATGTTAGAAAAAAGCACTAGATAGTAGATGTGTTACATTATATGTACACAGTCAACATAATTTAATATAACTATCACATATTACAATCACAAAGAGGATGCACCTGAATCACGTCGAAAATATGGTGTAATTTAAATTGTCACGAAAGGAAAAAAATGCTTTCGAGCATCGAATGCATTAAACTAAGATAGGATTGTGCCCATCGATGATAGTTTACTTTTCATTTTAGCTTGATTTCCGTTTGTTGCGTTATTACATACGTATTTTAGTGCGTTCTAGAAAATTGCGAAATATTTTTTTCAGTGCGGTGGAGCCATCCCATTGCACCGGTGATAAAGCAAATGAGTCGATCATATTGCATTTTCATGAATTTCTCAAGCTGACTGAAACAGTCTTTCATTCTGTAAGCTTCCCAATTCCAATTAAAAAGTTGGAGCTGTTTGGCATTGCAAAAGATCATTTACATCTCGTTATCTCGTATAGTATGCGGGAACGTGTTTATCCACAAAGGGGTAAAACCAATGAAGGCTATTTACACGGGTGATAAGATAGCATGTATTGAAAAGTTATTGTATTGCTATGCTTTCTGTTTCATTATTGAATGTTAGCTGGTGCTAACATCTGGTACGGTGTTACTTAGCTTTTAACAGAATGTATAATCACATTTGGGTTACTCATAAGAAAAGTAAACAATTGTGGATCTCGGTTCAAGGATTTGAAAACTTCATTTGGCTTTCTGCAAATTCAGGGAATGAGCAAAATAACCGTGGCAGGGGCGAGGGGAGCGGTCCACCTCAGGTTTCACTCTTGGAGGGGTCCCGACCAGAACGTTATAACAAAATTATATCATGATTATATCAACTTCTGTTATAAATAATCTTGTTTTAAAGTCTGTGGTGAAATGAGGAATAACAAATCATCATGGTATTTGATATAAAATTGTTACACAATTTGTTAGAATAAAATTTAAAACAACATTTTAACTAAGTTTGTTAGCATAAGTAGCACGAAAAATGAAACAGTTTTTTTTTTTTTAATTTTTGTTTTGTTTTAGTCTTGAGCCGGTAGTAGAATTTAATTTTTTTTAAGGGCTACGGAAAAGTTTTTCACATGGAATTGGGCTGATAGGGTTACCCGAGCAAAGTCCAGCATCAAAATGACAGCAAGTTGGAATCAAGTTTTGATATCAACATCAAACTGAAATCATAATTTGATTTCAGTTTACGCAATTGACAAATTTGATACCAAATTTTGTTTTCATTTGCTCTTCAAAAATATATTGTTGCGGGTTTGTTTTCATAGCCTTGGCATAAAATCAAATGGAATACTTGTTTTGTTATCAACGGGTAAAATTGATATCAAATTAAGTTTTCAGTTTGCTCTCACTGATAGTAGAGATAGTTTTCAATGTGATGTTACAGGAAGATTTGTTTGCTCTCAATTTTGATATTTTAACCGTTAAAACAACCAAAACGACAGCAACCTGAGCAATCATTATCAGCGAAATCACAACATCAAATTTAGATTTTAATTTGATCTCAGACTTTGCTCGGGTAATGTCCCTAATTTCAGCCTAAGTGTCCCTAATATTGGGCCCATAAATAAATTTCGAAGGCAAGCATTTTTTTTTTTGATAATGATAAACTAAAAATCAAACATATTCATTTGTATTGTCATTGTTCTACGAAAAATTTAAGAACGATCCAGAGATCCATAGGCCAAAGTTAGTGCTTTTTCTCCTTTTTGTTAACAGCATTCTCTTTTGATTGGGATGCTAAAATATAATTAATTATTACAGTCAACTCTCCCTTACTCGATCTCTCCTTAACTCGATTCTCCCTAACTCGATGGAAATCCAGGGGCCTCATTTCGCAAGTCGAATCAAACTACCTATCTCAAAGCAACTTATCCACAAAGGGGTAAAACCAATGAAGGCTATTTACACGGGTGATAAGATAGCATGTATTGAAAAGTTATTGTATTGCTATGCTTTCTGTTTCATTATTGAATGTTAGCTGGTGCTAACATCTGGTACGGTGTTACTTAGCTTTTAACAGAATGTATAATCACATTTGGGTTACTCATAAGAAAAGTAAACAATTGTGGATCTCGGTTCATTGGTATATATTGATTCCGTAAAACCTAAAAATGTTACGTTGGTGATGAAGAATGCACAACTAGCATTATAAAATTGAAATTGTCACTGCAAGACCCTTCTGATCAAAAGGTTTACTTAGATTTTAACTATCTAGGAGCGATTGCGCAATAGTAATGTGAACCAATGATATATTCGCTCATAAACGGAATCCAAAAACATAAATTATCAGTTCAGTTGCGTTCTTTGAATTTTGGCGTGCACCTTTTCAAATAAATATGTTGCAATTTGTGAAAGACAATATGTTTTTGATGATATACAAATTAAAATGATCAATAGAAATTTGCAACACTAACCGTCGAACATTAGCAATCAAAACTAACTTCGAATATATCTTTAATTTGCAATGGTGTGCGAGACAGATCTCAACGCATAACCAAACACAATGTGCAACTAACACTGTATTAGAATTCAAATAGTGCATATGCAATCAATGAATCGCTTTCATCTTATTTTTGTTTTGTTACATATACTTAAATTAATTACTTTCATATAGCTAAGTTGCTACTTAATACTTAGCATAATGCTTATGCTACTTTATAATCAGAAAAAAAAAGTATCTTATTAGCGAGTGCAATGTAAACGGCAATATTTGAGAATTATAACAAACTTTGTTACAAATATATTTAGCCATTTATGTCAGTGCAGCAAGAGTGCAGAGAGTAAGAGGTGTTGGGAACACACTTTTTATTTTTAACTCAGTTGCCGGCGCCAGCGAACTAAGAAGGCTCTGCCTGGCATACACAAAAGGTTAGCTTGCGTCTACTCCTTCGTTAACAGTAGATTTAGACTAGATGACACCAGATTTACCACTAGCCAAGATTGTTAAACGTCTGGGTTCGAATCCCTGTGGCAGCTATATAGACGCTTTTTGTGCAGGCTAAAGGAGAGAGAGATTTTTTTTTATATATCCTGAATTTCAAATAAGTTTAAGTCTCAGAATCGTTCATATTTTTAATAAACAAGGAGCTAAAAAATAATGTCCAGCATAAACTTCTGAATAATTAACAACTTTTTGTGCACGGAATATTGAAACATTTTCGGTGTCTAAATTACATTGGTAATTTAATTTCACAGGTTTAATTTAAAATATTCTCAAGAATTCAGAGCGTGGTTTCGAATTCGTCTAAAACATTGGGTTTCTCCCTTGAATAGTCCACCATTGCCTTCTTATCCTTAGTAATTTTCACATGAATTTGCATAAGTTAATTTTCTTAAAATTTCTGTTACGTTTCTGTAAAATATTCCTCAGAATATTCAAGGTATGCCCTTAAAAATAATGCTAGAATTGTTATGAGTATTGCATTGGAACTCAGTTCAGCATAATCTTAGATATATGCTGAAAAATATCTTAATATTCTTCTTAGAATTCCCACGCAATTTCCCAGAAAATTCCTTTAGAACTGTACGCAGAGTTCGATTCCTGGGAACTATTTTCGGATTGGATTATTTCATTCGAGCATGGATTTTAACCGTTTTAATCATGTTTAAACAAACTTCTGATTATTCAATTGTTCAAAACCTCATGAACGGGATCGAAATAGATCAGACCATGGCGGATAAGTGAAAAAGAAAAAAAGAAGATCCAGGAGCGGTGTTTGTTGGGAGCTGTCTTAACTGATGGGCAACGAAGATCCCAATATGATCACGATGGTGTGAATCCAGCTGGCTTAAAGTGATACCGAGAGATGCTGGACTGTTGCATTTGATGCATCTCTTTCCGAGGGCTGGCAACGAGTAGCGGTTTTCCTTAATCAAGATTCAAGAAACTTTTCTGAACTGTATTCGGGAGCTTAAACGATTATTCGGGTGAGATCCTTCCTTTAAATTTATTTAGTTCTTAACATTGTGTTCCATATAAATTTCACTAATCCAGTACTAAGAAAACGAATTGAGGAACTCGGCTAGCTTAGCGGCTGCTACGTTTGCTTACTATGCATAAAAAACAATCATATGCTTTTGGTTGTATCGCCTGATTGAAGCGTATCCTGACCGAATACCGTACCTAATACTCCAACTCCGTAGTACTTATGAGGGTGTCACTAATTTGGTGGCCTCTCTTTGAGTAAGAACTACATCAACACTTCCTTTCCTATCCCTAGTTAAAGTTCGCGAGTCATTGTGAGTTTTAGCGAACTTTTCCTGTAGATTGATTAGAGACCCGTTTTTTCAGTTTTTACACAAGGGAAGATAGAACTAGGGTTCCTTCCTCCTTTTCCTTTCTCCTACGGCCTTTTATTCATTTTTTTCTTCAGAAAGCGAGTAATGACGAAATAACCATAAGCCATATAGGGCTAAGACAAGAGCTAGTGCTCATGACCCAACCACTCGAGGAAAAGGAGCATCATTTAACTTTTTTAGATTAGATGATCCTAACGAGTAATCATTTATAGCAACGGAACGTACCGTACGAGATGTCCACGTTGCATCGATTTATTGGATTCTGAAGCATCGTGTTTAAATCTTTGATTTAAACAGGCCCGATGTTTCTGAATCATCTTGCCCCTTAAATGCTGCACAGTAGGCCTGGTCGTTTTGACATATTTTGCACATCTCTGATGTACAAAATATACCAAATAGACAAGGAAAAGGATGGAGGTATATCTATCATTTTCCAG